TTTGGCGTGACGAGGTCAAACTCCAGACTCCTTGAAGTCAGTCAGCAATTGTGCTGTCCGTTTGGAAGTATTGTCTTTCCTGGCTGCAGGTTGTGCTGCAGGGCAGATCCTCATTTACTTTGAGTAAAACACTTCCCATAGATTAGGCCTATTAGATTAACAGGCAACCATTACTACTTTATTAAAACTGATATGCAAATAAAAAAATAGACATTAAAACTGCCTAATCAAGATCTTACAATAAATGTTCTGTTTGAACATCTCTTTTTTTTTCCTAATTCTGCACACTCAGGTATTTCTAAAAGCCTCTGTTTGTATCTCTGCTTCAGGCATTGGGTAAATACCTTTTGTGGAGTCGCTGAAGGTATTTACCCCCTTCCCACCTTCCTCCATCCATTACCTCCTTTAATGACGTTTACACATCTACTTAGTAGGAGGATCCACTCATCGTTCTGTCTCCCTGTGAATTTCTTTCTCTTAGACCTTTGTAAATACAGGGAAAAAGGACTACATTACTTTCTTTTGGACTTTTCTAGCGCTCTTAGTGCATTATTAGGAAGTAGAAGAAAACAAACCAAACAAATATTTTACAAATAATGTATAAGGTCTAGTTTTATTCATCCCTTCTCTATAAAAGTTTTTTTGTACTGACTTTCACTGCTGCAAGCATTTTTGGGGTATGATGCAGCCAACGTTGCATATCTAGAAACTGAAGTTTTTGTCCCATTTGATTTCCTAAAACAGGTCAAGTTAAGTTGCTTTGCATGAGAAACATAACATAAATTTATTTAAAGTCAGAGAGAAATCATATTTAAATGTCAGATCATTCTGGCTTAAACATGTATATAAATGTACTCTTTATCAGATGATTTAGAAAATTTCTGTTTAAAAAAAAATCCTGTCTTGAAATCTGTTTTTTTTCCCGTTATCTTATACAGGCCAGTTAGTTATACGTCAGCCTGTACACCTAAATTCAGCCAATCATATATCAACGGTCATCTGTCCATACAATTTTTTCGGTCATAGCATCTTGAGTCATATGTCACAGCTAATATACGCAACGGTTGAAATAAGAAATAATAATCATTTCCTTTCCCATTGAGTTCTGTCCCAGTGTTCAAAGGGATGGACATCTGTGTCTTCAGCAGGCGTAGAGCTAACAGAACTGGCAGCGTTGCGAGGCAAGGGCTCAAACATGTACGGCTGTAAGCCTTCTACACCAAACCAAGCTTCTGCCGCCCTGGCATCCTCTTCCACAGCATCTTCGTCCCGCTTTCCTCCTCTAAATAAAAAATGGATGACGGAGGAGAATCATCCATGACCTCCGACACTAAACTCTCCTCCTCTTGCATGTTTCCGCTGTCCATAGCGTTCCTTGACAGTGTCGTTGCTAAGTCACCAATTAAGTGCGACTTGGTCCCAATGGAATTTCCCATTGGGATATAAAAGACTCAATGAAAGACATGAAAATGATTTGATCCTCACCATTCCATGTAGTTGTGGATGTATGGCTGGAGTCACTGTTCAGCTGGAAGGGAAACCTCTGCAAACCTCTGGAGACTTTTGTCATTTGAAGTCTCCAAAGGTTTTTCCAAATGATTTCACTTCTAAATCCTGCTGCCAAAAAAAATAAAAAATTCCCACAGCATGATGTAGCCACAAGCATTTCTCAATGTGGAGATGATGTTCTTGTGTTTGCTATATCTTCCACATAGTATGTGACAAACTTTCACCCAATGAGAGCTTTCCTCTGTTCTAGGAAAAATAAAACAACCTATCAGTAGACTGTATAACTAATAGATCTTCTGTTGACAGATTCTTTCACCCAAGCGTTGGATCTCTAACACCATATTTTGATGTTATGGTTTAACATAGTATGGATCAGAATCAACTGATTGCTGATAAACAATCAAAGGAAAAGTTTATTTTAAAGTTGAGTTTTCCTTATGTTTGAAAACGTGAAAGAACAATGGAGAACGGGTGATTTTTTTTTCAAGCCAAAGGCTGGCTGATGTAATTTTCCTCTCTCTCAGAATATTACCCCAAATCTCAAGCTTGTTTAACTTTATTGAGCCAAAACATTTACTTGACCTTTAATCTTGGAGAGCTTTTCTTGAACTTTTCAACTCCTCACTTCCTCATGCCTTTTCTCTAACATGAGCTAGTGCTCCCGGTGATTTCTGAGTTATTCTACGCACTGGTATTTAGACATACTCAACTGACACCCACACATTCTCTTTTGACACTGACGCTGCCCCGCCCTCCCCCTCCACTGCCTGACATGTACCGCAAAAGACATAGAGATGTAGACACATGCACATGCATACAAAGGTGACTGTACCTGTCATCTCCACTGAATAGGGCTACCTTACCCTCATTTTGTTCTTTCTGTCCATCACCCCCATTCTTTCTGTGCTGATGACTCAGCGGACTCCTCTGGGACTTTATACGTGGTTGTGAATGAAAGGTTTTCGGCCCGCTGCCTGGCGCCACTTTGCCCACCCTTTCTTCTCCTTTCCAAGCACTCTTTCTTAAATGAGACAGTTGGGAAGACCCTCTGTACTTGCTCCTGGGCTAAGGTTTGTGGCATTTGTCCGAGTTGAAGTGTGTGCTCTGCTGTTAGGCTTTTACAACTTTTCCACTGAAGAAACAGGTCTTCACAGCAGGTTGAGTTCTACATTGCCTCAGGTCTTCAAAAAAAATCACTGAAGTATAGCGACCTAAAGAGAGACCGACAGTTGGAAAGAAAGGAAAAAGAACTTGACCTGAACATGTCTCAGAGGAACCATTAGTGACACTCAGGAATGGTTTTTCCTCAAAACTGTCTGCGGTGACACTTCATACCTATTTCTTGCTTAACAAAGGTTCCACTGCTTTAGCAGTAATATACTAAACTTTCAATGCAAATCCAAGAACACTTTCTCTGTCAGTCAGTTTATTTCAAAGCTTGCCAGGTTCTGCATTTGACCTTTCAGCACTTGGTGTTGTTTTGTTTTCTTCTCTCCAGACACATTGTGTTTAGTTCTTGTACACTTTTTTTTTTTATTTATCAACAATGATCAATTTGGCCGTCTAGAGCTGAGGTTGCGGAGTAGCGGACCATGGTCTGAAGATGGACCCAACCGGATTTAAAACATTTATAAATTACCGTATGTTGTCCGACGACAGTGGCTAAATTCACTTGCGCCGCCTCTCCTGTTAATATGGTAAAGCCCTCCGGAGTGTCCGTCACCAAGCTACACATGATACAAATTAGCCAATGAGCTGCTGTCAGTCTGGGTTGCTGCTGCTACTTTAAATATTATCCCTGTTCTAGAGTATAAGTTTGTGCATATTAAGACCTTATAGCTTTCTGTTCAGATCAAATGCATTCAGCAGGTTAGAGTGTAAGATTGCTCTTAAAAGGATTGATGTCTAGTTGAACAGATTGCCCTTAATATGTTGTAGTTTTCCTATTAACTTAATTTTTTCAGTTTTTCCGCAATATGGAATAACTCATAATTACTCATAATTGTGTCTCACAGTTTTCATGAGTCGTTATAAAGGAGAACTTGCAGGAAGCCGATTCAGGTCAGGGGAAGACAGAGCTGGCAGGAACAGTACAGGAATCCAGGAAACCTCAGCTCGATCAGAGGTTCCGACAGAAACGCACAGACAGGCAGAATCCAGTAGGAGTCCAAAGGATGGTTCAGGCAAACAGATCAGATGGGGACAGACAGGGCCAGTGGATGAGAGGAACGGAATGGGAAGATCAGAATCACAAAGGAAATGCTGAAACGCTCTCACCACTGGCTAGAGAATAAACGTTGAACGTTGGACTAACTAAAACTAACAGAACCAAACACAAAACAATGATTTGGCCTCAATAGCTGGGCTGGACAAAATATAAAGCAGAACCTAGAGGTGGATGACATCAGAAATGATTAGGAACTGTGCAGAACTAGCCAGGTGAGTGAAATGAGCAAATAAGGCCAGCTTTCAGAGCAGATAATGACAGCCCGGACTACATAAAATGTTAGCGAGTTAGTACATTCCATCAGATCAATGTCACTCAGCATTATGTTTCCCTAGATAATATATTTTTAAGTACACTCATCTGCCAATTTATTAGATACACCTTGGTAGTACCAGGTTGGACCCTCTTTTGCCTTCAGAACTTTGAACCTTAATCCTTCGTGGCATAGTTTCAAAAAAGTACTAGAAACACTTGTCAGAGTTTGCTCCATATTGAAATGATGACATCAAGCAAATGCTGCAGATTTGTTAGCTGCACATCCATGATGCAAATCTCCCATTCCCAAAGGTGATCTACTAGATGGAGATCTGGTTACATTGGAGGCCATTTGAAATAAGTGAACTGAACTTATGTCATGTATAAGAAACAACTCTGAGATGATTTGTGATCTATGACATGGTGTGTTATCCTTCTGGAAGTAGCCATCAGAAGATGAGTCCAGTGTGGTCATAAAGGGACGGATGTGGTCAGCAGCAATACTCAGGTAGACTGCGGCAATGACTTAATGTTTAATTGGTACTCCAAATTTAGCCAAGAAAATATCCCCAACACCATAGGTCACCAACAGCTTGATTAATACAAGGCAATATGCTTTTGTGTTGTTAAAGGGAAAGTGTTTTGATTTTGGCCTCTTAATGATGCATTTAAACTGTTCATCAGAACATCAGAACTGATGTAAAGCTTCCTGAATGACCTCGGGAAAGCCATGAACTCAGTCTCAGTCAAAACAAATATAAATGGGACTAAAAGTTATCTCTTTATCAAAAAAGTGATTTAACAGATTTTCTTCTCTATTAGAAGAAAAGGTAAAGATTTAGTCTGATTTAAACACAACCACCTAAAAAGCTAAAAAGATTAGAAAAACTCCTACGTGTTAATACTTCAAAGTTGTTTGGTTATAAGTGAACCTTTTAGGATAAACTGTTTCACAAGAACATTAGATGCAAGTATTTTAATGACTGATGTTTAGCCTGGGGTTGCGGTCTCAGCAGGACTTGGTTTTGTCGTATTCTTCTCCAGTTTTTTTCCATCCCAGGAAGCGGTGTAAGGTTTTCCTCATCGATGCGTTCCTGGTTTTTGTTGGAAGTCCCTTTGAGGAAGCAGAGTCTGATGGAAGCTTGGAGACCTGTGTGTTAAACACAGCGCCGTTTTCTTCCTGAGTGGTCTTCAAATCCTCCTTCTGCAGCTGGAGAGGGTCCTGCCCAGAGGTCAGACCTTCACTGTCCCCAGCAGAGCTAAGCAGCGGCCTCATGTCAGAGACATTGTTCTGCTGCTCCTCTATGACAGCCTTTAGCTTCCTGATCAGAAACAGGTCTGTTAACGCTTTCTCTGCATGAAATCTATCTTCATGCAGGAGATACTTCTGAGTTTGCTCCAGCTCCTGCTGAAGGGCCACGTTCTTTTCTTTCTCCATTTTGTAGGCAACTTTTAAATCTTCCAGGTCTGTCAGAATCCTCGAGTTGCTCAAGACATTCCCGATTTTGCTCTCAGTCAGTTCTTCCATCAGCCTTTCTTGTGGATAGCTTAACATCTTTGCATTGCTGCGTCTCCCTGATGCAATAAGAAACATACCACTTTTAATCTCCCTTTGAATTAATAGAATATTTTTAAATTAAATTATTACCTCTCTGCTGTTTTGGACGGTTTCCTCTGGCATTATGGGAAGATATTTTGATATTTTCCCTCTGCAGTTGTTCCATCTCAGTTCGTTGCGCCTGCAGATTGGCAGCAAGTCTGGGTTTTTTTTCTCGGCTGTTCTCGACGTGAGACTTGGCAGTTAACAGTTGAGCCTTCAGCTCCTCAACTTGAGCAGCCAGCGCCTTCTTCTCAATCTCACAGTCATGTAGCAGTTTGGCTAATTTGTAAGAAGCTAAATGGGGAATTTGGTTGCTCTTGCTATTTTGCTCCTCCATAGTCTCTTTTTTCGTTTGTCTCACCTCTAAAGAGCAGCTATTGTGTCTGACAGAGTTCTTTGAAACTGTTTGTTTATGGTTTGTCTCCACGGAAACCCCAGAGCAGAATGGAACCGACAGCCCAGTCTCTGCATGCTTTTGTATATTTTTAACCAATGTGACATAAAAACAAAATGAATAATATATATTTTTTTTATTAGAGCAAAACGCTAAGGTAGAGAAAGACTATTTTGATACAAAGGTTTATGTACTTTATTTATCTAAAAATATTTAAAAAGAAAAAAAAAGCATCTTTGTTGCTGCCATGGTAACAACGCACTGTACTGTTGAAATCCATCACATCACGGTGTATGAATTAAAAAAGGGATCATGTGACAGTTACACAAAGAAGGGGAGATTCTCTTACTTCATGTAACCATTAGCCTTGTTCTGGTGATAAGTAAAATAACTATTATTAAGTTTTAATATTATTTTTTATTGTTGATGCTAGAGGAGGAGCATGGCCAGACTGGTTAAGCTGATAGAAAGGCAACAGGAACTCAAATAACAAATTGTTACAGCCGAGGTACGCAGAAGAACATCTCTGAACAAACAAAATGGCGAACCTTGAGGCCAATGGACTACAGGAGCAGATTACCACACATAGAGCCACTCCTGTTAGCTAAGAACAGGAAACTGAGGCCACAATTTGCACAGGCCCATCAAAATTTGACAATAGAACATTGGAAAAAAGCTGCCTGGTCTGATGTGTCCTGATTCCTGCCATGATATTTGGATGGGAGAGTCAGAAGAACTTAGTTTTAAAGGGAAACGGTATTATTTTTTTTACACTGGGCCCTTTATTTTATGTTATTACATCATGTTCTACTCACTCATATGAGTTTTGTGTCATTTGGAGCTGTTCTGAAGACAGCTTCAAGATGAAAGTTAGAGTACACTGCTTTTCTTTGAGAGTAACAAAAATCGAATCTATAAAATAGACTCTATGAAAGATATGTTTAGAGGTTATAACCAAAGGAGCAGATAAATAATGAAAGGCAGAAGCTGGAGACTTGAGTCTGTGACGAAAAGTAGAAAAGTTACTGAAAGCCAGGTAAGTAAAGGAGTGATAATGGGTTTGATGCCTGGTGAGGGTCTGTGGGTGTGCTGCAGGGTGTGTGTGACAGCCTCATGTCAATCACCTGGTGGCAGCTTTTAAACCCCTCAGGTGATCGCATCACCTTTTTGCTGCCCTGTGACCACTCCACCGCTGGAAAGCAAGGCGTAAAAACTATTTGGTAATAAGGCTTCTTAAACTTTAAGTAATGGATCATATGAGCTGATTTGTTATTTAAAAAAATATAAAACAAACATAAAATTGTGGGACAATTCTGGTATTGTAAAGATCAATTTTCAAAAATAAATAATAATATGCAGAAGAAACTCTTTTCTGAATTTTATTTTTGTTTCTGAAAAAAAAAAAAAAAGTTACTTCATGTTTGATTCATTTCCAAATGACTCAGTGGATACTATTAAAATAACACTTTTACTAATAATATTAAATCAGCAAACCCTGTGTTCACGTAGGATGTTGCATTTTAACATAAATGAAGGTGTGTTTATCCAGTTTTTTAAGGCAAGGCAAGGCAAATTTATTTGTATAGCACAATTCAGTACAAAGACAATGCAAAGTGCTTTACATGACTAAAATACAGGAAGATAAAACAGAATCAAAGCATGTAGGAAAAATTAAAAAAAAAATAAATAAAATAAAATAAAAAATGCAGAAACAAAAAAAGAATATTAAAAACAGTTGGACTAAAGAAAATATGTTTTAGTTGAACTGTTTAACTAGAACAGTCGAAATCCTAAACAAATGTGTTTTTAGTCTTGATTTAAAGGAACTCAGGCTTTCCGCACTTTTACAGTTTTCTGGAAGTTTGTTCCAGATAAGTGGAGCATAGGAACTAAATGCTGCTTCTCCATGTTTAGTTCTGGTTCTAGGTATGCAGAGCAGGCTGGAGCCAGAAGACTTCTTCTTTTAATAAGAATGGTAATTCCTTCATAAAGTAAAATTACTTATGAGAAGCCTGATATTTTACTCAACTAAGAGCAACAAAATAAACAAACTATTACTCAAGTGATATGTGTAATTATATGGACCTGCTTGTGTTTTTACAGATACCTGCAGAGAAACACTCCTGAATAGCTAACTATTTTCAGAAGGTTACACAATTAAATGTAACTACTTACTAAATACCTCTACTAATGATAAATCATCCATTTTTAAAGAATTATAGTTTACTAATGCTTATATCATAGTATTAAAAATAATAAATATATGCTCACTTAAAACAATACTTCAAGTTGGACGTTTTATAAAAATATATCTATTTCTATTACTGTATTTCAGTACAGCATCCCGAAGCAGTACAAACAAAAACAGTGAACCCTGTTCCATGTTTCAGTGTTGAAGTGGATTCCATTTATTTTTAAATCTATTAATAATTTTATTATTTGGTAAATTGAATATTTTAAATAGAACATTATTGGGTCAGTGCAGTTGTTTGGCCCAGCCCCGCTACTCGCCCTGCTGCAGAGAAGGAGATGGAGAGAAAAGAAGTTCACTTAAAAATTCCGTATTTTTACACATAAATATAATTTTTCATCCTCTAAAATTCCCTGTATTTCCCTGAGTCTCTGTCTTTTGAACTTTGGTTTGAACTAGCCAAGTTAGCATAAGTCAATGCTTTGAATCTATTCTGAAATTTACCTGGACTCTTCCCTGTCTGGTGCTGGACTAGTCAATGATGTATGCATACTCTATGCATGGATTTGAATGATTCGGGTTTCTTGTGGTGCCTGCACCTCAATTATACTAATCTCTAAATATGCATAGTTTGGAATTATATTAAATTATTTTAAGTATAACTTTAGATGTTTTTTCTGTTTTATATAATGAGGCATTTAACTAATTTATGTAACATTTAACTGTATTGCCTGTAATAGCACTGCCGCCTTGCAGCAAGAAGGTTCTGGGTTCGATTCCCGGCCCAGGGTCTTTCTGCATGTGTGGGTTATCTCCAGGTACTCCGGCTTCCTCCCACAGTCCAAAAACATGACTAAATTGGTTTCTCTAAATTCTCCTTAAGTGTGAGTGTGTGCGTGAATGGTTGCATGTCCTGTTTGTCTCTATGTTGCCCTGTGATGGACTGGCGACCCGTCCAGGGTGGACCACGCCTCTCGCCCTTAGACAGCTGGAGTTAGGCACCATCACCACTCACTACCCCACTTGGGATAAAGCGTGACAGAAAATGAAAGGATGGGTACATTTATGCATTTCTTGATAAATGATTCCCCTCCATATTCCTCACGGATCACATCACAATGATTATGCTTACTCACTACCCGTCACTTGGTGTCTTGCAAGTATCGCTTCCTGGCCCCCGCTTTGATAAGCTTTTTCTAATACATCCTTTAATAATCTAATTACCATATAATAATAATAATAATCTTATAACCATTTAATAATCTAATAACCAATAATCTTTAGCCATATTTTACCATATTAGTAACTTGGGTTCTTTGGTTATTTTCTTGTAGATTTTTGAGGCACCCTGAATACCATCGTTTAATGAATCATGTTTTTCACTTCATAAATATTTAAATACTGATCAATGCATTTTTCTTTTACTTTAAAAACAACAAATTTCTGCGTTTTGTGCAGTGTCAAATATTCACAAACTATTATTATTATTATTATTATTATCATTTTCTCTTGACAGTATAGGAGAAGTGTATTAGTCCTCTTTTGACCAGGTGACTGGGAGTGCACAGCAACAGATTGGGGATACTACAGAAAAAATGGCTACTTCTTTTGAAGGACAGCATCACTGCATAGCATACCTACATGTTGTACTTGCTGTAGAATTTGGTAGTTTTAGTATTTTCATTGAAGATTTATCTTTTGACTGATCCGCCTTCATGTGGAGCATGCAGTAGTAAAACAGTAAATTGATTAAAAATGTCTAAAACTAGGCATCTTGTTTGATGATCATTCAAACATTAGGGGGGTTTGTGTATCTTAGGTGTCAAAGGATTCTTATTTCATACCATAAATTTAATTGATAATAATAAATCCACAACACAGTTTATTATACCCAAAAGGGAAGTTAGATGTTTTTGTAACTCTAACTCATTTCTTAAAGGAACTATTGTAGATACTGATGGATTAAGGGAGGAAGGATCTCCTGTAGCAGTCTGTCGAGGAGCAGATCTGAAGAAGCTTCTGAGTGAAGACACTGTTCATGCTACATTCTGAAGAAGATGATCCTTGGGCTTGTCCATAATGTTCCTCTTTGTAAGAGGATTCTTTTTTTTTTTTGTAAGATCCTCTCCAAAGGTTCTGGATAACTTCCCAGAATTTTTTTTTTTTAGCTTGTTGGACTTAATTCCCATTTTTCCTCCCATTGAGCTGAATTTGTTTAGATCCATTCTGTTTTTAGCTCAGATCCTTAATTTGTTGTAAATAACTTGTTGTTAAGCATATTATTCTTTTAAATCACTCCACACAGTAGCTTATTTCTTTCAATTTATCTGCCAATTTTGATACTTAAAAAGTAACCATTTCCTCTGCCAAGAAAGTCATGTTTTTAGTCGACTTTGTGTGTGTTTAATTTGTCTGTCTGTCTGTGTACATGATAACTTGAAAAGTTATGAGCGAATTTTACTGACATTTTTATAAAGTCAAATGAAAAATCCATTCAGTTTTGGTGATGATCCACATCATACAGGACGCAGGATTTTTTAAAGGATTTTTTTAACATTGTTTGGTGGAACAAGCACTTCCGCCTTAAGTGACTCCAGCAGTGACTATTGACAGATTCAGCATCAGACTCAAAAAAGTCCTCTAGTATTATACTGAAGACAAAAACACAGGAAGGGTGTACCATGCCTTGCTCGAAGTCTCGATCTGCGGATCAAATAAGAAAGCAGAATGAATGAGGAGAGCAGAACAAACA